TTTTCCTGGAAAATTTTTCCAGGAAAAAATAACTGAAAAAAGAAAAAAGTTTGATCAAAATGAATATCTTCATCACATGCCATGTATATATTCAAAAAAAACTTTGGAATTAGAAACATTTCATGTTTTTTTTTGGTTGTTGTTGATAAATTTCCCTCCCCCTCTCTCTCTCTCTCTCTCAATTACTTTTAACACTTACTCGATCACATTGATGAATCAACCAATTCAATAACAATGAAAACAAAACAAAAAAAAATCCAAGAAAATTTCCATCTTTTCTTGGATCACTTCATCATCATTGTCAAAAGGATGTTTTGTTTGTGTGTGTGTTTCTGTGTAATAATTGTCTACGGGGATCCGGGTTAATCTTTTCTTTTTTTTTTATATTTCTTTTGGAAAATAATCCTTTTTTTTACATTTTTTCTCTTCTTCTTCTTGGTTGGGTTATAATCTTAGTTGATGGTTTGTTTCTATGAAAATCATTGATGATGATAAGGATGATAATAATAATGATGGTGATAATAGTGTTAACTATTAACAACAACTATTGTTATCATCATATTGTCGACATAATTTACTGCAAAAAAACCCTCTTTTTCCTCCCCATTTTCTCAAAAACAAAAATTTAACCCCCAAATAGTTTGTACAGAGCAATTATTTTTCAAGCATAGAATAATGAATCGATTTAACGAATGATGTGATGACAGGGCATAAAGAATGTAAAACATTTAAAAATCTCAAAATAAAAATGAAACTTGACAAACTTGAAAATAAAAATCCAAACGTTTTTTTTCTTGGTTATTGTTAATTTATTTTAAAAAAAAAACATTATCATTTGAAAAAAAATGTTTTACATTGTAAATTTCCATTAAGCATTTTGTTTTACAGCGTTTTGTTTTAAACGATGCCAAAACAACAACAAAAAATCATTAACATTATTTTTGGAAAACATTTTTCTCCATTTCAAACATTCATATTTATTTGCTTATATTCATTGAATTTTATAATCATTTCTATAAGAATGTTAGAAAGTTGTTAATGTATGTTAAAATTTCAGTTTTTCATTATGCCTCATTTATATATAAATAATCATCATTTAATGTAATGAATTTTTTTTTTTACTTTTCCCAATTCTCTATTTAACACTTTCTTATTATAAGAGAAATTCTAGTGAATTCTTAACACTTTTAACACCAGAAGAAACAGATTTAATATTGTTTATTTCGATACATTTTTTTTTTAATTTCTTGATCCATATTCTCTCTTTTCATTTTAACTCTATATCCACCCAATACACGCACAAACAAAATAGACACCATAATCATCGAAATGGTGTCGGAATAGATGAATTAAAAGAGAGAGAGACATAAAGTGAATGAAAGTGAAAGTAAATGAATGAGAAAAAACAAGACACTTGGGAAATTGCATATCGGTCTTTGCTATTTTTTATTTTTTTTTATTTTCTTTCATTCAACTCCGGCTGCTGGTTTGTTTGTTGGTTAGTTGCAAATTAATTTCCTTCGTTATTTTTTCATTATTTTCACTATGTTTGATGTGTGTTTTTTTCCACACAAGTTTCCAAGTTCGTTATCCCATCATCATCATCATCATCGTTTGATTGTATATAAGTGAAAATTAAGAATCACATCGGGATGTTGAAAAAATAGAAAATAGAAAAAGAGTGAAAAAGAGTGAAAGAAAAATGATTCAAGTATAAGGAGAACAACAACTAAAACGGTATGATGATTAGACTGATGATGGCAATGATTATATGGAGAGAGATTGAGAGAGTTGAGAGAAAGTGAAATAAACTTCGATTCTTTATCAAAGTTTGTTATATATTGTTGTTCACTATAAATCTATAAGAAAAACAAAAGAGAAAAAAAATTCATTAAAAATTATTTCATTCCCATCAGATTTTCTCTTTTCTCTTCTCTTTTTATAATAATAATAATGATTCATTTAAGTGAGTAATATGGAATTATAATATTGGAAAAAAATGAAAATGAAAATAAATAAAAAACCATAAGTCAAAATTGGTGTCTTGAGTCCAATATCCATAAGTGATGTTTGGATCATTCTTTTCGTTTTTTCTTTTTCTGAATATCCATGATCATCAGTGTTGAATAATGTATCTTATGTAACAGCAAAACTCTATTATGGAAGGTCTCTTGATTTTGATATGAATATTGAAGCAGCCAGCAGCAAAGGAATCATGCAATTTCAATCAAAATTTCGATTGACCCATTTTCGATCATCATCATTATTTGTTGTTCTTCTCCTCGTTTCTATCAATATTCGATCATTTTCTGTTTTGGTTCGTTTTCATATAATCATCATCCATCATTTATCTGCAATGTTCATCATTTGGAGCAAAAAACAAATTCCATTGTTTTAATGTACAACAACAACAACAACAAAAGAATTGAATTAGAATTTTAAAATTGAAAATTCATAACAGAAACAAAATGACGATTACGATTATAAAATTACAATCGAATAAACAACAACAATACTGACGAACAAATTACAAGATTATTTTCATTTTCATATATATTCATTTAATCTAATTTTTAATTTACGTTTTTTTTCATTTTTTTTTTATTTATTCATCATCTGTGTAGGTAGACTTATTCGAGAATCAAATTTCCTCAAAACAAAACAAAACAAAACAGCAAAACAAAATCGGATATTATCCGGCCGTAATCGATATCGATCACCATTCACAAGTTAATAGTCACCAATATCAAAGAGAGAAGAAGAAGAAAACATTGAAAATCTAATATAAAGTCAACGACGACAAAGAAGTTATCCGCGTGAATAAAACGATACGATAATTTAATCATTTCAAATTTCTATATTGTTTTTCTTGCTGTTCTGTTGTTTTATTTCGTATGTTTTTCATTTCGTTCATTTTCTTCTGATTATTTACAAAAATGAAATAATAATATTCATTTGAAAATAAAGAAAATATTCTTGAAAATCAATACAAACACAAACACAAGGACAAGCAAACAACGACAAACAACGAATCAAATCAAAATTGTCTTTGTCACATTGACTTGTGTTTGTCACAAAAAAAAGGTTCTACTGATTCTCAATGATTATTACCAAAAAGAGAAAAACGACAACAACCATAATAATAATAAAGGCCAACATCCAAGCAAAGCCAACAACAATAACCACTTATAAAAATAGATTCGATTAGATCTATATTTTGGGAAAAATTGTTTTGTTTTTGCATCCCTCACATACACACTCCAGAAAATAATAAAAACAAAACAGAAAAATGTCCAAACATATCGATAAACATTGACAAAAAAAACAATAATAATAATAACGATAACAAAACGTTAACGATAACAGAACGTTAACGAATAATATGTCAACGTTGATTATGCGATGATTCCTTTCGGCAAATTATAAATGTCAAAACATTTTTTCATATATTCTGGTGAATAATATATATGAAAACAAAACAACAAAAAAAAAAGTATCAAAGATTTGTAGATCAAAAAACAAAACAAAAAAACTCCAAGTGTGATTGGAATGGACCAAAACAAGAAAAACTTTGCTGAATCAACTGTTTTTTTGTTTGTTTGTCTGTTTAATATGAATTTTTGTTTTGTTTTTTTGAAAATTCTTGAAAATTTCACATTTTTTTTTGTTTGATCGTTATCATCCATCCATTCAATGTTTTGTTTGATGATTAACTTTAAAATATAACAAACAAACAAACCAACCAACCAACCAACAAGCAAACAAAATAAATTCAATGTTGAACAAATTTCCAGTGTACACGCACAAACCAAATCAAAACAAATTTTTTAACGGATGAGGAAAAGCGAATTCAGAAATTTAGTTGAAATTTCGTTTTTTTTAATTTGCTTCAACAACAAAAACAAAATCAATTCAATTCAATTGATAAAATTAAGAAGTGAAATTTAAAAGGAAAAAAAACACAATAGCCATTCATTCATTCATTCGTTCATTCATTTCTTGATTCTGTTATTTTATTTTTACAAACATTGAACAAAAACCAAGGAAAAAAAATTCTTTATAATTTTTTTTTGTTGTTCATTGTATTGTACAATTCTGTAAAATGAAAAATTCTTTACATTTATATTGGAACAATAGAAAAACATTTTCTATAATGAATCAAATTGACTGGAACAACGAAACGAAACGAAACTAAACAATTCTACGAGTTGACAACAGTTGAAGCATCCACACACACACATTCCGAATTCATTATCATCATCATCATCATCAACATTGATTTGACAACAATTAGCTGCCTTAATTGTTTTGGGATTTTTTTCATTACAAATTTCTGTTCTATTTCAATGAAACATTACAATGATTTTATTTTTCAATGTTTTTTTGGAGTTGAATGTAAAAACTAACCAAACCAAACCAAACCAAACCAAACCGACCGACCGACCGACCAAGACAACAACATAAAAAACATAAATAAATTCCGGAAAAAAAAGTCATCATTCACATTGACAATTTTGTTTTTTGTTTTCTGAAAAAAAAGTCAGGGAATGAATGAACTCGACTATAACAACGAAAAAAGTCCATAAAACATTCGACAGCAAAAAAAGAAAGGAAAAATGGAACAAAAATATCTTGTAGCCATTAACCGCATCAATCTGGTAAATGATAATAATAATAATAATTTATATACGAATCAACAATTACAATCAACGAATAAAACTAAAACAAAAACAACAGCAACCAATCAAATTGATTATCAAATAATCACATTTAGTTATTATTGTACAATGATTTTTACTGATTATAATCATCATTATTATAATCATCATTATTATAATGATAAAACAATACGATCATCAACGCCTCAACAACAACAACAACAACAACAAAAATCAACATTATTAACAACGATATATACAACGCCCATGATAAACAATAAACAACAACGAAATTTTATAATAAAATTTCCAACCGATTATTTTGATATATGGTATTCATTAATATTATTATTAATATTAACGTTATTATGGTTAACACCAATTAAAGCTTCAATACGTCCATCATGTCGTTGTATTATATATGATGATACATTTGGTAAAGAATATGGTGTTTTTACATCACCCGATTGGCCTATACCGTAAGTGTTTTTTTTCAATATTCATTGATTTTCCTCCCCCCTTCAAAATTAAATTAAAATTATTATCGATTATTGATTATTGATCTTTGTTCCTTCTCCCCTCCCCCAAAATCTATCAATATTTACAATCAAGATATGAAGATAATATTGATTGTCTATTATATACATTTATTGCTCAAAATGATCATATTGTTGAAATTACATTCGATGAATTTGATGTACAAAAAAGTTCAGATACAAAAATACCATTAACAACAACAACAACGAATTCAAATAATATTGATTTTGGGTAAGTATTCTGTTTTTTTCTGTTTTTTTTTTCACCCATCCGCACAAACACATTGATCTGATGCAAACAATATGAAAAATTTAACTCGTTTAATACTCGTGGATGTCAAACATTCATGTCAAACACGTATGTGATTCGTTTTTTTTTTCGTTCGTTCGCTTTTGCTCTCTCTAGCTTTACTAGCTTTTCTACTTGCCTGTCCAATCGATCAAAGTGATCTTTGATGTGAAAATTAGAAAGAATAAGGCACACACTCAAAAAAAAAAAAAAAAAACAACGACAACGACAAACTTCAAACATTGACACACAGCATTCCAAAAGTCGATAATCAAAAAGTCAAAAAAAAAATAAAATAAAATAAAGGCTCAATGCTGACAATCTAAAAACTTTTTCGATTCTTGTTCTTTCTCTCTATCTGTATACAGCTGTTTGATTTTTCTTTTCTTTTTTTCTTAAATAATTGTTTTTGAAAATGAAACTAAGAAAGAATATTCTCTTGGTCAGATTGATCAAATCACCTTAAATCACTTACATACACACTTGAAGTAAAAAGTGCGTGCATTTTGTGTGTAAATAGTTTTCTTTTTTCCATTTCCAAAATAGAATCTATTTCAACAACACAAAAATTGAAATTATTATTTTTTTCAATTCGAAACATGTGTGTTTCTGTGTGAAAATAGAATTGTAAAATAGTGAAAAAAACGCACATACACACAACAACAACAACAACAGTGGCTATAGAAATAGAAAATTAAATTTAAATGCAAATTCTCTATACTGCCAGAATGAATGAATGAATGAATGAATGAAAAAGATTCACATTGTGAATTGCCCAAACAAATGATAATGTTAATGATGGTTCGTATTAAAAACCTTAGCGGAAAAAAAGTAGTTTTTTTTTCGTTTCGTTTCATTCATTTTATTCATTGGTTCAACAAAAAAGAAAAAACCTAATACTTTAACGTCGTATTTCATTTGATTTGTGACGATTTGTGTGTGTGTGCGTATATGAATAAATAAATGACTTATTCACATATAAATCAACGAAAATAATAATAATAATCATCATCATCATCATTGTTGTTGAGCAGAATTCCATTCTGATTCTTATTCCTATTCTTCATTTGATTTTGAAATTCACTTTGGTTTTTTGTTGCCAACTTGAATTCATTTAAACATATACTTTTATTTTTATTGTGTGTGTGTGTGTTTGAGATGCTTGAATTTTGAATCTTGACTTTTTGAAATGTTTTTCAACGAATTCTTTCTTTTTTTGATTTTTAACTTTTCAAAATCTTATCACATGCACAGAATCTAAGAATGTGATGGAATTGGAAAACCATACGATAAGAAAAAAGAAAAGAATATCATCGATTTTTAAACGATTGTCATTCGATGTTGTTGATGTTTTTTTTTTCAATCAAAAATTTCTTTGATTGAAAAACCTTTATTTTTTTTCTTTGATTGAAAATTCGTTTTGTTGTTTTCATCATCATCATCATTGTTGTTGTTGTTGTTGTTGTTGTCAAATCAATGATTTACGAATCAATCTGTTCATTGAATATTTTTCTTCTACTTTACTTTACTTGCTTTTTGAAATGATTTTTTTTTCTCCATTTCAAGAATAACAACAACAACAACAACGAAAAATGAATGACTACAATGGATGATGATAAACGAGAATAACGATAATGATAATACTGGAAGAAAAGAAAAACATCAAACCTGACATTACAAACAACAATTTTACCGAAAAAAATGATGGAGAAAGAAGAGTAGAGCTAGTAGGCAATAATGATATGTATAGAACTTTTTCGTTTCACAAAAACGACTACCCTGTTAACACACACACACAAAAAGAGTGAAAGAATGAATGAAAAAAATGCCAAAAAAATGACAATACCCCGTTACCGTTAGAATTCAATGGATTCATATTTTTCAGCATTTTGTTCCATTGAACAATGATGAAATATGAATGAATGAACGAACGAATGAATGATGACAATTGCAATGTCAAAAAAGCAAAAAGCAAAAAGCAAAAAAATTGATGCTTGACAATCATCGATATTTGAATGATGATGTTTTTTGGTTGTTGTTGAATAACTTTTTTTTCTAATATTAAAAAAAAAATCAATTTCTGCCTTCAAGGTAGAAATAGATTTTTTTCTTCTTCAAAATTCTTGTTTAAATTCCTGTTCAACGCAATATGACCTTTATTTTTTCTTTAAAAAATTCAATTTTTAAAATTGAAATTTATTAAATTTTTCCATTTTTATTAAATTCGCTTTTTTTCGTTTGTTTGTTTGTCAATTTAATAGCTGTGATCATGGTGATTATGTAAAATTATTTTTACATCTAAATAATAATAATAATAATGGTATTGATGAAACAACAAAATATAATCCACCATTATTATGTGGAAAATTTCCCGATATTGAACAAACACATTTTAGTTCAAATTCAATATTAATATTTGAATTTCATACGGATTGGCGTTCCGGTAATAATACTGGTTTTCGTGGTACATTTCGTTTTCTTAAAAAAGGTAATTTGAAATTCTTTATTTTAACAAACAAACAAAAAAAAATGTATATCGATTATCGATATTCTTCTTCTTCATTGAAATAAAATGATATTGATTTCAATTTTCTTTTGAATTGCATTTGAATTTCTCCATTCTATTCTATTTATTAGCTATGTTTCGTACGGATGGCCAATTGATTTCGGATACTAACTGTGATTATCGTTTTGATCATGAATCATTACAGCTAACAAGAACCATGTCTCATTCGATTGAACAACAACAACAACAAAATAGTATTTCAAATATTGAATCAAATCGTTTGATTTTTAATTTCAATGATGATGATGATGATGATATTGAACAAAAAAGAAAAATGGAAAAAAATTTATTCACATTTCAAACAAATTATTTACCATCATCATCATCAACAACAACTTTGAAACAATCGATATCATCGAAGAAAATCGATAATAATAATAATAATAATAATAAAACAAAATATTGGGTTGGACAACGTGGATATTTTTTTTCACCACAATATCCATCAACATATCCAAAACAAACAAAATGTTCATATCGGTTTCAAACAAATGATCCAAATCAACGTATACGTTTATTATTTGTTGAAGTAAGCTTACAACGTAATGATCAAAGGTATGATTTTTTATAAATAAATAAATTTTTCATCCCCCCACCCCCCAAAAAAACGATACATTGAAAATTCGATTGAAATCTAATTGGTTTTTTTGATTTTTTTTTTTTTGATTCGATTTATTTCGTTTCAAAAAATAATGTATCTTGAAAGAAAAATGGTAGAATCAGAAATGTATGTTTGTAAATTCAAAGTTTATTTTCAATTTTCGTGTTGGTGATTCGATGATTAATCGGATGATTACTATGAAAATAAAATTATAGATGCTATTAGGCAAACAAACAAACATCCAAAACAACCAAAAAACTAACCGACCAACACCACTTATGGTAGACAAATGTGATTTGGAATTTATCTTTGCCTAACACTTTTTTTTACTTATTCTCTCTCCCTCTCCCTCTCTCTCTTTTCATATTAGCACTTTCGTTTTTTTTCTTACTTATTGGATTGAATTTTTGTTTTTTTCGTTTGCATTTTTTTTTTCTTCTTTTCTTTCATTCGTTGCATTCTGAAATTCTGTATATTCTAGTTGTTGTTGTTTTTTATATATATATTTTTGGTTCGTTAATTCTTGGTCGGCCACAATTAATCATTTGACCCACTTCAATCTATTTTTTTTCCTTCCCTCCTTATTCCTCTACAACTTTCAGTGAATCATGGTAATAGTAAGATTATATATCTTTTCTATTTCGGTTTTTTGTTGTTTTTGTTGTTTTGATTTAGCATTGATTTTTTATTTCTTTGCTTCTTTGAATCCATTATAAATCCAATCATGATTCAAACGAAAAAAAAGAAATTCTTTGAAAATATTTTCAATTTCAAAATAGAAACAATGAAAAATGAAAAGAAACCGAAAAAAAGATAATGAAATGAAATGAATTAATTAACGAATGATTCAATGAGAATGAGACCAAGAGAGAGAGAGAGAGAGAGAGAGAGAGAGAGAGAAAGAATCGGAAACTAAATAATTTTCATTTCCTTTCCATTCTGTTTTTTTGTTGCTGATGAAGATGTTTCAATTTAAAAATTTCAATTTCGTTTTTGACTAGATTTTTTTTCCATTTTTCAAATTGAAGTTCATTTATCGTATGATTTGAATCTTCTCTTTGTTCTGAATTGATTTTCAATGATGTTCATTTTTATCATCAGTCAGTTAAGTTTAATTCGCTTTCTCGGCTAGATCATATTTCCGCTTACATTCATTCAACTCTTCTTCAATGATGTTACACATCATTATTGGATTTTTGTAGTTTTTTTTTGTTTTGTTTTTTGTTTCAAGATTATTATCGATCAATTCAATTCAGAAAAAAATTTGACAAATGAATGTGTTAATGACTCTTTTATATTGCACAAATTATAATGAAAATGAAATTATTTTTCTAATTTTTAATTGATTATCATTGTCAATAGATGGCGGTTACTATGTTACCAAAAAATAATAATAGTTCTTTTGTCAAATAATCAAAAGATGGCGTTTTAAATAAATAAAAAATCTTTTAAAAAAATTTTCTTTTTCCATATTTTTTTTTTGTTTTCAAAAATCAATTAGTTGCATATCGAATAATGATGTGATACAAATATATGATGGTATTGATTCAAACGCAGATCTTATACAACAGATTTGTGGCCAAATTGCCTTTTTAGAAATATTATCATCAACTAATCAATTATATGTTGAATTTATTTCACCACCAAATACACCGCAACAACAATCAGCCAAAGGTTTTAAAGCTGAATATTCATTTATACCAGTTACATCGTTAATACATTCAGGAACATTATCATTATTACCATTTACACCACCTTTAATGAATTATTTTCCATTTGGTTCATCATATGCATCCGGTATTCCATATCCATGGTTAACTGGTAAGTTAACTACAGAATTAATTAATTAATTAAATCTGTTTTTTTCTATCATATCAATTCCTGACTATTTAAGCTAATTAAAGCATTTTAGCTAATCAACTGAAAAGATAAAAAAAAAATATTTTTATCATTTAAATAACGAATCCGAATGAACAAAAATTGCTTTTTTTGGTTATGTTTCCGATGATCATCTGATGATGATGATTGTCAATTTAAGTAAATGCGCGATTTTGGCGTAATGTGTTTTCTGTTTTAAAAAATGGAAACACACACACACAAAAACATGTACATTTAATATCGATTGGATTAATCGATTTTTCCAGTTTTTTTGTTTCATATATTCAATTTCTTCAAACAATGTAGTTCAAACGATCGATAAATTTTCTATTCGATTGATTGAATGTTTTTGAATCTGTTATACAAATACTGTGAGACAATGTCAGCAGACATTCAAATATTTGTAACAAACAAATTACTAATGAAGCTTTCGGGCATCAAATTTCGATAAAAAATTTGTTTTTTCACCAAGTTTTTTAAAAAACAATCACCTTTTTTTCAATCAATTATGGTTATCTATTGACAAAATGATTGACCATCTTATTTATTTTCCGTGTTATTTAAAATCGATTTTTTTTTGGTTTTTGTTTTTCATCTTCACAATCACCTTATAGATGCTTTAAAAATATCTTCCACTCCTTTTTTCCACTCATTCATAGAACAGTAATGATTTTTTTTTCACGTTGGATATCCAGAAAAAAAAAGAAAAGATTATATCCAGAATTTTGCTTTCAGTTGCTTATATTCACTGGAAATCATTGAAGTTTTTTTTCACACACACACACAAACACACAGTCACTGTCAAATAATGATGATCATCATCATCATCATCATGTTGATGATGGAGATTTAAGAGAATCGATCTATAGAGAATGAAGAAAAGAAAAAATTTTCAATATAAATTCAAAGAATCCATAAATTCTTTATATAATGGTGTACATTTTATTATTATTATTATTATAGATATGGTCTAAATAATAAAAGTAAAATTTTAAAGTACGGTAAGTATATTTATATTTTATATTTTATATTTTACAACAATCATTACCGAATGATGGAAGAAAGAAAGAACGAAGAAGAAAATTTTTTGTTTTTTTTTGGTGCAACCAAAAATATTCCTGTATTAGTGTGTGCTTGTGTGTTAACTGTTCGATGTTGGATATAAATGGCCGCTTATAAGAAAAAATTTTCGTACTGCTCATAAATATCGTATCGATATAAATATTATTACTAACCAAAATATCATCATCAATTGATGTGGATATATATAATCGAAGAGCTGAAGAGAGATAGAGATGGAGAAAAAAGTGAACATTATTATCATTATAAATGTCAATAAATGAATGAATGAATGAATGTCGATATCGATATGCAATTGACAAGAAATGAAATGAAAAAACAATAATAACTTGCTTATGGATTTTTGCTGAAACTATCACTATCAAGATTTAGTAGTAGTAGTATTTTATGAATCTAATTCTGTACTTTCAACTATCTTTCCTTTTGAAAGTCATTAATAAATATTGTTTTTTTTGTTTTTTTTTTTTGATGAGAAACATAGTAAAATGATAATTTACGATTTTTTTTTGAAAAAAAAAAATTTCTA